AAAGAGCATGTCCAGAGACCCAGGGGGAAGAAGGAGAGAGGTGAAGTTATGATGCAAGGCCATGCAATTTGCTGCAAAACTGACAACTGCTTTTCAGAGAACTATAGATGGCAAATCCCTAGATATGCACCATGTGTGGACACGTTCATTCTGCATCTGAGACATCACTAGAGTTGCCAGAAGATGTACTTTGTAATAATTCTTGACAAGAGGACAATTTAGTTCTCTTTAGTCATCACTCATTATGTTGAATTGCCTCAATAAAGTCCATATGTGTGTGTGCATGTGTATGTGTGTGTGCACATATACACATATGAATATTGATAGAGGCTCAACCCCAGGACAGTGGGAAAAGAGCCTCGCCAGGCAATCAAGACAAAGACTCCCTCCCTTAGAAGTTCCACATCCCTCTCCATAGCCTTGAGCCATCACAAACGTGAGTCCCTGAGCATCATGTCATGGTCCATTGCCCCAGGAAGATTTATATGTGAACAGAAGACTGATTGGACCCCAAAGATGTACCCACACACAAGAATCCAGTCAAAGGGGATGAAACTATGCGTGAGAGCTCATGCAGACCCTTGACTGGGGCCCTTGATAGGGCCCGTGGGCTGTCCAATGATTGATTTTAAGTCATGTAACTCTCCCCTAGAGACACCATATTCACCCCTGCACGATGCACCCCAATCAGTGTTCTTCCATAGGATCCTTCCAGTCTAGTGGGAGCTCTGGTTACCTTTTTCTTCAATAAATCTGTGCTGTTTTGCTTCTTCTGTGTCTGTGCAATCATAACTTCAAGACCATAGAGACAATGAACCCGATTTAAGTGTTTCTTAGGATTATCTGGACTGAGTTTTCTAGACAAGTGATCTACCACTGATCCACGTGCCCAGGCCTCCCTGAACTTCCAAGGTGCACCATCGAGGGTCCTGACAGTCACTCAGGAAGCCATATCCTATACCATATAGTGCATGCCATATTCAAGCTTCTTACTTGTGGAAGACCAGGTGTCTTCCAATCAGATGAAAGAAGTGGAAGGTGTGGAAGACAGTTCTAACAGGGTGGGCTCAGATGTTCAAGTGTCCAAGGAAAGAATGCTTCCTCCAGGAACCACTTATCATGATAGATCAGAATCGTCCCACCATCCTCCAGACAAATTTGGGTTCTTTGTGCTACTGCACAAATGGGCAGAGAAAATGATTGTTTGGATAAATTGCCAAGCAATTTATCCTAACTAGAATGAACTAGGAAAAATGTAGTTGCTATTACTAGATCATAACAAATAGGACTATACTATTAGTATTCCTTCCTGTCTATAGTATACCCACTCTGTTGTTGCTTATCCTGATCCATTACATCAGCCCTTGGTGTTTCTCTATATCTGCCTACATCTTGGCAAATAATACATTTGTTAAATCCCCAAATGTTTCCAATTGAGTATGTCATCTATTTCTTGCTGGGACACTATTGGCCATGCTAGATACCAGCAATGTTGCCATGAACAAAATAGGAGGAAAAACAAAACAAAACAAAAAAAAGTGTCCCTTATGAGACAATCAAATGAAGGAGGCCAACATAAACCAAAAAAAAATTGGAGGGACAAAGGATGAAGAAATGTAGCAATGGTACCCACTAGACTTGGCCAGTTTCTAGCTATGTCTCTTTTCCTATTAATTTCAGACCTGGGAAAATCATCACAGGATGCATTCATGGATTTTATTGTGAGACAAAGCTGAGCTAAAATCACACCAGTCTACTGGCAGTAAACTGTAGTGCTGTTTCAGGCCTACCAGAATTAATGACTTAGACTCAATGTCCAACAATCCCAAAGAACATCTTATTTCCATTTCCTCTCTGCATAATTATACTAGTAAACAGCCATTTATCCCTTGAAGAAAAACAGGATAGGTAACTATTACAGTTTGGATATGAAACATGCTGCCAAAAGGTTCATGTGTTGAAGGCATGGTTCCCAGTGCAGCAATGTTTAGGGGCTGCAGGAACTGATTGGATGATAAGGGTTCTGACCTCATCAATGGATTGATTCATTCATGGATGTGGAGGTAGTGGAAACTTTTGGAAATGAGGTCTAGCTGGAATAGGCAGTCATGACAGCTTGCCTTAGAAAGGACATTACCTTGGGGCTGGGAAGGTGGCTCAGTGATAAACCACTTGCATTGTATGCATGAGGCCCTGGATTCGATTCCTCAGCACCACATAAGCAAAAAGAAGAAAGCCGGAAGTGGCGCTGTGGCTCATGTGGTAGAGTGCTAGCCTTGAGCTGAAGAGCTGAGGGATAGCACCCAGGCCCAGAGTTCAGTGCCCCACAACTGGACAAAAAAAAAAAAAAGAAAGAAAGAAAGGACATTACCTTGACCAGGCTTCTTTCTTGAGTCTGTTCCATCACTTCTCCAACATGATGCTGTGCCTCATCTCAGACCCAAAGCAATGGAACCAGATGAGCCTGGACAGAAACCTCTAAAACCAAGAGCCCAAATAAATCCCTATTCCTTTATATTTTGAGGCATTTGCCATAGCAAGAGGAATCAACATCCCTCATTCGAGGGGTTCTGAGTCTCACATCTGAGAAATTATTTATAGACCACAAATTGTTTTGATGATTTCAAAAAGTGATTAAGAAGTGGTGTGGGAGCTTAATTAAACTGGCTAGTTTTTTTATTTTAATTCAAATATCCAAGCCTATCAGCCCATCATAGATTACTCTTAAAGCACTATAACCTAAGAGCTTCATTTTTACACTTAGAAACTAATTTAAAAACAAAACCCTCGCTGAGACATGCAAATGTTAATTTGTGGAATGTTTGTTGTCAAATGGTTTTTTGTTTTGTGTTGTTTTGTTTTTTGTGGTCCCAGGGCTTGAACTCAGGGCCTAGGTACTCATTGTTCCTAAGCTTTTGTGCTCAAGTATAACACTCTAACCCTTGAGTCACAGATCATTTCCAGCCTTTTGGTGGTTAATTACAGATAAGTCTCAGACTTTCCTTCCCTGGGTTGGCTTCATACCTAAATCATTAGCTCTCAGCCCCCAGAGCCGCCAGGATTACAGGCGTAAGCCAACAGTGACTGGCTTGCCAAAGGTTCTGTGAATGGAACTGTCTTCTCTTTATCAGTAAACAGTAGATTTCTGAAAATCAAACCCAAGGGCTCATGAAGCAAGTGGTGTATTTACTATGATATAAATTGAATTCTCAAGCTTGTTGGTCATCTGCTATTGTAGGAAAAGTATTGATTAAGAAGATGAAGAAAGTGGAAAGCGGATATAAAGGATCCCAACAAAACCAGGGAAACTGAGCCCTCAAATTTTACACTTTTACAAGGGGAGGGGGGTAACACTATCCAAAAAGAAAGTACTCTTTATCTGATTTATATAACCCCTCTGCACATCACCTTCAGAATTTAAAAAAAGAATTTAAAAAAGTACACTTTTCTTGCGTGTAGAAATAGCCCTATCTTTTATGTTAACTTCACTTTACCTGAAGGACGTATAACCAACTCCCCAGAGCTGCTCCCTTCAAGGACCTGCCATATAACCATCTCCTCAGAGCTGCTCCCTTCAAGGACCTGCCGATTCTCTCAGGACTTAGCCCTGCCACCCTGCTTTGCAACTAACCTGAAAGTAGATCCAAGTTCTAGGAGGCACCAAAGGGTAAGAAACAACCTGATCCAGGTGAGGATACAGTGAACACCAGAACTTCATGATTTTTCCAACGCATATACAAGTCTAGAGAACATACATGTCGATTTTAAGGGCGTAAGATCAAATTTTTGATTATGGGAATATATGTGGGAATAGATCCTAGGATAGAAGGAAATAGTAGAATGAGATCAAATTTATTGATTATGGGCCCCTTAAGAAGAGGAGTTCAAAAAGCTTAACAGTTTTGTAAGGCTGAACATAGCCTACAATGAAATCATACTGCCAGGATGGCCTTGTGATACCTAGAAAGGCATCTCAGGGCTTAAATAGTCTCTGGTGATTTATCATGTTAGATCCACCCACCCTGTGAAAGTCAAAAGGGCACACCTTACACCATGACTAAGAAAAATGAACTATATAATGACATGTTTCAATGATGGACCGCACATACCGAAGTGGCCCCATAAGAACATAGTAGGGCTGCTGGGTGTCAGTGGCTCACACCTGTAGTCCTAGCTACTCAGGAGACTGAGATCTAAGGATTGCGGTTCAAAGCCACTGTAGTTCAAGTGGTAGAGTACTAGCCTTGAGCTGAAGAGCTCAAGGAGACTGCCTAGGCCCAGAGTACAAACCCCAAGACCAAAAAATAAATAAATAAATATAAAAAGAATACAGTAGGGCTAAAAAACTTCCTCCTCCCTAGTGATATCACCACTGCTGCAATGTCATAATGCAAAGCATTATTCATATTTGTAATTCTGGTGTTAACAAACTTATACTGCCAGTTGTATAAAAGTGTGACATATACCATCATGTACAATATATGCTCCTTGATGCACTGTCTTACATACGTATGATACTTTCAATTACTATTTTAGAATTTACACCTACTTATCTATCAAAGCATTTTACTGTTAAACAGAATGTCAAGTTACTACAACAGCAACTTTATACATCTTGTTTACCTCTTGATTGCCTCCTTTTCTCTTTGCTTAATCATGTTTTGTGCGTCATAGTCCCAAGAGCAATAAACTATGCTGTGTGTGTGCACATTGTGTGTGTGCACCCACATACACAGAGCATAGGCACACGCTATGATGTTCACACAATAAAGTCTTCTAACACATTTCTTTGGACATATCCCTGACATTAAGTGACACACGACTAAATATGTGAGCCCAAATTTACTACATGAATAGTTCCTGAGAAATGACTACCATATAAAATTCCCATTTAAGGAAACAACTTCTGTATGAGCCCCATACCTTTCAGCAAAAGGGTAAAAAAATTTCATACCAATTTACGGCAAAGTAAACAGAAAGAATGAGAATGACACCTCTTGTTTTTATTTATTCTGTCATTTTAATGTAAGATTGAAACAGACTATTACAACAACATTTGAGGGTCCACAGAGAACTGCATGCTTTTACTATGAAAAGACCTTTGTGAAAGCATTAGTATTTTACCTCTGGGAATTGGAATATGGGGGATTTCAAGCATTTTTGTCAGCACACAATCATTCAGAACAAGCTTCATATGTTTATTTTCTACCTTTTCCTATAAAAGGTAATACTCACTTATCAGAAGCTCACCACACCTCAGGACTCAAAGCTCAGGATCACAAAAGTGATCCAAGCCTATAAATTAGCATACATAATTAGTAGTCTAAAGCTTGGTTTAAATGTTCAAAGAACAGCAAATACCAAATAAAACAGAATATCATTTCTCTGAGGTAAAACCAGCTAAGCTTATTCTCTGTCTCTGTTCCTATCAGCACAGTGCTTTCATGCTCAATGCTTGCTGTAGCATCACAGGGCTTAGAAACAGTACATTTCCAGCATTCCACAGTAATCACTGCTTTTGACAACTGCAGTATACACCTACATGTTGCACTACCACACAGGACATAAGCACTTTGTCACATATATCACTCTTAGCCACAGATAACAGCACACAAAAAGCTCTACAGGACAAAAGGCCACAGAACTTTGGGATATTCCCTTTTCCCAGATTGTTAGCAGGTAGCACTTTTTTTTAAAAGAGAAAGTAATGAAAAACCAGAAATTCTGCATCCAGTGTTTGACCTTCAACTTTCTACTTTATCGTCTTCTAGTACCACCATATCCTAGAATAAGAAGAACAAAATCTGGATTAGTTTTAAAGATACATTAAACCTGCTTCTAAAATTAAAAAAGGGATGGAGGCATGGCTAAAGTGATAGAGTGCCTGCCTAGCACTCTTATCTAGTCTAGCACTCTGCCTAGTCTAAACCTCAATCAAAAGAGAGATAGAGAGAGAGAGAAATAATTAGAAATACATGTTTACTATTGGCAAAGCAAAGGATGAGTTGTGAGGGGAGGAGACAATGAGCCAGTAGGTAGACTATGAAGACCAATCCAGAACATTCCAATTGTCAGGCCTAGACTTATACACACACACTTGCTAGGAATCATTTTTAGTCCAAAATCAAAGAGGATTCACTCTATGGGCTACCATGGAACAATCAACACTCAAAGTCTAAACCAAAAGGGCAGAGGCCAATGGAAGTGAGGGGAAAGGCACAGACTTTCAGTGATCAGTGTGACTTGGACAATAGAGGTGATACAAGCATCCTTGTACTCCTTCAGTGCACAAGTGCATGCATTTCTGTTACTATGCACTGTTAGCCCTCTGCATCGGTGGGTTTCACAAACTTAGATTTAGCCAACTGCAGTTTGAAATATTCAGGGAAAAAACTCCATCTGTAGTGAACATGCATAGACTTTTTCTTGTCATTCTTCTCCAAACAGTACAATGTAACAACTATTTACATAGTATTTAACTGTAGTATATAAGTAATCTAGATGATTTAAAGTACATGGTAGATTCTTAGATTATATGGGGTAGGTATTGGAGTTTGAACTAAGGGCCTCATCGTTGGCACTCTAACATTTGAGCCCTACTGCTAGCTATGCTTTTTGTTGGTTATTTGGAGATGGTTATTTTGGTAGACTTTCCTGCCTGGGCTGAATTCAAACACCCAGGTCTCAGACTCCCGAGTAGCTAGGATTATAGGTGCAGCACTGGTGCCCGGCTATGTCATTCTTATATAAAGGACTTGTACATCCACAGATTTGCATCCCTGGGGGTCCGGGAGCCAACAGGGATAATTGTATCTGAAAATAAATCACTGGATCCTGGGTGTGCTTACCATCAATTTTCATAGGTTCTAACAATTTTTCAAAATTATTGTTATTTTTACCCAAACCAGCCTATAAAAATTCTATTCATTTTTAATTAAAAATATTTTAAAGAGCCGGGCGCTGGTGGCTCATGCCTGTAATCCTAGCTACTCAGGAGGCTGAGATCTGAGGATCGCGGTTCAAAGCCAGCCCAGGCAGGAGAAACCGTGAGACTCCTATCTCCAATAAACTACCAGAAAACCGGAAGTGGCTCTGTAGCTCAAGTGGTAGAGCGCTTGCCTTGAGCTGAAGAGCTGAGGGACAGCGCCCAGGCCCAGAGTTCAAGCCTTACGACCGACCAAAAAAAAAAAAAAATTTTAAAGAACTTGTTTTTAAAATGTAAAAAAAGTTAATGATAAAATTTAAATATATTTTTCTATGATTTCAAGAATTGTTCATTTCTCTACAGTTTCCTTCTCCTAAGGAAGACATCTTAATCCACAGCAGTCTCTTTATCCACCATCTGTTTGTTCATTATCTGGATGTTTAATGCCAAACAATTATTGTTATTAAGATTTTTATCTTTGATCTTCTACAAAATACCTTTTGTAGTAAACATGTAGTAAAATCATACATTTGGCGATTACTTAACGTACAACTCAACATATTTTTTTTAATCTTCCTAAATTTGAAAAGTTCAAGCTTGTACTTTAAAAATTCTAGTTTAGAGACCTAAAAGCCAGGAAGATTAATTTTAAAAACCTAGTTAGTGTTAGGGCTGAGCCTATATCAACTCCATTTGATTTATTACTCTTCTCTTTTTTTGTAACACTGAGGACTGAACCCAGGCCTCACGTAGGCAGGAAAAGGCTCTACCATGGGAGCTACACCTCCTATCACCATTAGATTTCTAAAAAATGATTAGAATGGAAGCAAAGTATGAGTCTGAAGTACAATTTAATTTCAGTTCCTCAGCCATCTTGTTAAGTTCCAAAACAACTTTGCTGCTTACATGTCAGGACAATGTGCATCTCTGCACTTACCTGATGCTGTTCTGGTTTTTGTCTCTGGATGCGAACATGCCGAATAGCTCCCGGAGCCGCCACCAAGAGGTGAGTAAGCACGACTATTCCACGTGCTGGAGTACGAAGGAGGATAAGATGGGTAGTACCATGAGTCTGAAAAAGGTGTTGCTGCTCTTTAAAGACACAAAAGTGCGTTAGGTGTCTCTCTTGGGACTATAATTTTTAATTGCCTTGCTGTCTCTAAACTATCAGAAAAAAGTATCTTTCTAAGTATTGTTTCATGAATTTTCCAGCAAATGAGGATTAACACAAGTGGTTTTCTGTATCAGCCATTGTTGTTGTTGTTGTTGTTAGTCTTGGGGCCTGAACTCGGTACCTGGGCATTATATCCCTCAGCTCTTCAGCTCAAGGGTAGTGCTCTACCACTTGAGCCACAGCACCACTTTCGGCTTTTTTCTTTTTGTTTATGTGGTGCTGAGGAATCAAACCCAGGGCCTTATGCATGCAAGGCAAGCGCTCTACCACTGAGCCACCTCCCCAGCCCTGTATCAGCCATTGTTATAGTTAGTCACTGCTATGTGGGAAGAAAGTGAAGTGAAGGTTCCTTCTTCTAAATTTGCAAGTAAAATCTCAACCACCAGTAGTATTCAAAACATCCCAAATTCTGGTCCCACACTCTGTCCAGGTTTGTTTCAATCTTCCTCCTACCAAACCAGACTGCTAATTGTCCCTTATCCAAATATGTCCTTTTCTGGCATCTCATTTTCTCAGATGTCAAGTCTATAAGGATCACTGATATACAAAGTAACACAATGAAGGACAATAATGTATGTCGTTTTGATTAAAGGACTTATAATGTACCTTAGCCATCCACAAACAATCAAATTTAATAGGATGTCACCACGACTCGTTTCTCTTTACAAAATCAAATGTAGTGGAAACAAGTAAGTGAGCAAAACAAGGAAGCCTCAAAGGAAATGTTGAATGAAGTTAATGCAAAACTTACCGATTGCTGCCAAACAAATATCCCAGTATTCCTCCAGTTCCCAGGCCAGTCCAGAAACCAGGTCCTGAATTTTCATAGCCTTGTTGTCCTGCAAAAGCACTTCCAAAACCAGATGCTGCACCACGGCCAGTATTGTGTGGTCCTAAAAGTAAGAGTATTTCATTACCTCACTCATGTAACTGTAACCCTCTGTATAGTATCTTTACAATAATAAATAAATAAATAAATAAATAAAAAAGTAAGAGTATTTATTTATTCACACTTAAACATAACCTACCAGAGTTAACATGTCATTTCAATTATCCCATCTGTAGAGCACTACTTACTCATAACATTCAGCTCGCAGTTTATTCAAAAGGGGATTGTGAACTACTAGTTTATAACTTAGAGAAACATTTTCCTTAGAAAAGGAGAAAGAGGGATATATCCTAGAATTTGGGTCAACGGTCTTCCTATATAAGATTACATTTCCCCTGCTCAAGATCAGCTACTAAAAATGGCTCCACTTTTGGAGGTTACTTTCTTAACATCTTTAAGGGCCGAGGTGAGAGCCTGTACCTGAACCTGAGTCCCCAGTGGAGTAAGGCAACCAGATGCTTTTATGTATCAGTTTTTTTTTGTTTTTTTTTGTCAGTCGTGGGGCTTGAAGTCTGGGTCTGGGTGCTGTCTCACAGTTCTTCAGCTCAAGGCTAGCATTCTACCACTTGAGCCAAAGCACCCCTTTGGGTTTTCTCATCATTAACTGGAGAGAAGGGTCTCATGGACTTTCCTGCCCGGGGCTGGCTTTGAACCGCAATCCTCAGATCCTCCTGAGTAGTTAGGATTACAGGTGTGAGCTACCAGTACCCAGCTTGAAGTTAAATCTTAAAAAGACCAAAAAAGTATCTTCTGCTCAGAGGAATCATTCACACACACACACATACACACACACAAAGAAAGCTGCTAATTTTACATGGATGACACAACAAACCTGTAAATATGTTCAAATCCATGTATCCGTCACCCACATCACTTAACCACTTTAGCACCTAGAAGACTTGTAGGAATTCCCCACAGACACTCATTCACCTTTATCCAACATAAGCATTTCTTTTACCATACCTCGTTCCAGAACTTTTTTTTTTTCAGTCAATCGTGGGGCTTGAACTCTGAGCCTGGGTGCTGTCCCTCAACTCTTTAACTCAAGGCAAGCTCTCTACCACTTGAGTCACAGTGGCACTTCCGGTTTTCTAGTGGTTTATTGGAGGTAAGAGTCTCATGGACTTTCCTTCCCGAGCTGTCTTTGAACTGTGATCCTCAAATCTCAGCCTCCTGAATAGCTAGGATTACAGACATGAGCCACCAGCACCCAGCCATTCCTGAACTTTTTATAAACAGGATCATATAGAAATATGCTTATGACAGTCAACTCTACTGCTGCATATTATCAACAAGTTTTCCATACTTCATACAGCTGTCACAATCTCCCCTTAATTGGATACTTAATCTATTTCCCATTTTAGGCTATTGTGAGCACAACAGTAGGTTAGGAACATTCTTGTACATCGCTTCTGAGCAGTTAGAGAACTGAAGACATTTTTATTGGCCATCTGGGTATGATTTTATTAAATAATGGCTCTTTATATTTCCTGCCCATTTTTCCAATGGGATTTTTTCCCAAGATTTGTGGGATGTCTTTGTATATTCAAGAGAGTAGTCTTTTGTTGGGACTAAGTTTTACAAATAAGTTCTCTTCAAATGTGACTTGCATTTTCACTCTCAATAGTCTCTTCTGATGAACAAATGTTCTTAATTTAAATGTTTCCTTTTATGACTAATAGTTTTCTGTTTTGTTTAAGAAATCTTTGGCTGGGCACCAGTGGCTCATACCTATAATCCTAGCTACTCAGGAGGCTAAGATCTGAGGATTGCAGTTCAAAGCTAGCCTGGGTAGCTTTGAGTCCAGGAGACTCTTTATCTTCAATTAACCACCAAAAAGCTGAAAGTGGATCTGTGGTAGAACACTACGGTAAAAAAAGAAGCTTAGGGACAGTGCCTAGACTGAGTTCAAGCCCCAGACACAGCACAAAAAAAGAAATTTTGGCCTAAATTAAGTTCATGGCAAATATTCTCCTATGTTTTCTTCTGGTAGCTTGTCTTACCCTTTATATTAAGATGCATAATACTTAAGAGTTGATTTAATCAAGTTTTCCTGATGGAGATAATTTACTACTTAATTAGACATCTTTAAACTTGTAATCACAATGAATCTATGCAAAGAAACAGAACAGAAGAAGTAAAAGAAACTGAAAGAAGACAAGACTAAAAGAAACTAAAGAAAACTTTACATCCCCAGTGCAATCATTCTCAATTTCAGACAAGCACAAGATTCACCACCCTCATGGCTACCCTACTTACTGTCACTGAAGGAAACATACCTGTAAACTCAGTCTTAAAGCCAGGAGGAGCGGGTCCTGCGGAGTTGGTGAACCTCTGAGAATGATGATTATATGGAGGGTACTCGGAATACGGTGGAGGAGAACACTGCCCGTCACTCAGGAACAACTTATAAACCACAAAGGCAATGGTAAGTAACACCCCAATCGTGATCAATCCGCCAAGGCCACAGGAATCTGCAGAATACCACTTGTAGTAATAATCAGAGAAAGAAGAGCCAGGGTGCTTTCCGGACTCTTTCAGTTTCTTCAGACCAATTTCTGTATAATCTAAGTTATACTCCAAGCCACAGGAGCCTCTGAGTACATACTGGTCTTCACTGGACTCATAGCCTTCACAGCTCACTACTGTTTTTCCAAATTTGTATGCAACATCTAAATCAGTCTTACATTCCCACTGTGAAGAAAACAAACAAAAAACAAATATAATATGTAAGAAAATATACTTTTTTATTGTTTAGACTGTACGTGTGATAAAACTACAAAATGCAGCAAGGGCAAAAATCATATTTCAGAGCAATGAGCATTTGAGCTGGGCAGACAAAATGCACATTTCAAAGGTAATGCTGATTTGACTACTCTACTTCATAAACTGGGTAGAGAGTACTATGCTTTATTCCTTACATATATGCATTACACTTTTTTTTTTTTTGGTGTTACTGGGGTTTGAACTCAGGACCTCCCATTTGAGCCATGCCTGTAGACTTTTTTGCTTTAGTTATTTTCCAGATACGGTCTTGTACCCTACTGTACGTCTTGGATGGCCCCAGACAAACCTATACCTATACACATGAACCAGGATTACTAAAGTCCACTGCAATACCCAGCTTTTTCTTGTGTGTGCGCACGCACCAGTCCTGGAACTTGAACTTGTTGTCCCTGAGCTTTTTTGCTCAAAGTTAGAGCTAGTGCTCTACCACTTGAGCCACAGCGCCACCTTCAGCTTTTTTTTAGTAGTTTATTAGAGATCAGCTTCATAGACTGTCATCTGGACTGGCTTCAAACTCCATTCTCAGATCTCAGATCCTTAGTAACTAGGATTATAGGTGTTAACACCCAAGCCCAGTTTTTCTTTTAAAACAGGATATTGCTTAACTTTTTGCCCAGGTTAGTCAGGTGCCAGTGGTTCATGTCTGTAATCCTAGCTACTCAGAAGGCTGAGTAGCAGTTCAAAGACTGCCTGAGCAAGAAAGCCTATAAGACTGTAATCCGTAATTTACCTCCAAAAAGCCAGAATTGTGGCTCAACTGGTAGAGCAACAGCCTTGAGGAAAGCTAAGGAAAGCACTCAGGCCCTGAGTTCAAGTATCAATACTGACACACACACACACACACACACACACACACGTAAAATAGGGTGGGCACCTGGAGCACAGTCTCAGTGGTACAGCCTGTGCTGACCATGAACTAAATCTTAGGTTTGATCCCAATGCCACTAAAAACAGTAAATAAGCTGAGGTTTAAGTTATTTACATTTTGCTACTTCTCTAAAATCATTTAGAGATACAATCTAAAGTAGATTTAAATTGGTTCTATTGCCTTTCTGTTTTTGTACAAACTATATTCTTCTCTCAAAGGTTGATTACACTATTTTATGTTTTATTGAATATAATTCACATGATTCACACATTTAAATGGTTTTCTGATTGTTCATATTGATGTGAAACCATTACTACAATCAATTTTAAGGTTTTCCATCACCCCAAAAGAAATCTCAAACTCTTTAGCAATCACTTCCCATTCCCAACTCCTAAGTGTTCCCCTCACTACTGCCGAATTACTATCTGAATCCATTTCTCTACTCTGGACATTTCATAGAAATGGAGTCATATAACAATACATAGGCCTCTGAAACTAGCTCCTTTCACAGAGCATATTTCAGGGCTCATCCATGTTGCAGCACAAATCAGTGTTTTGTTCTTTTTAATGACTGAAAAATATTCTACTGTATGAATATTGCATACTTTGTGATAGTCATCAGAATGGACCTTGGGTGGTTTGTACTTTTTTTAAATTATGCTACTACAAACATTTGTGTAAAGCATTTTTTCTTTTTGCTGGTCCTGAGGCTTGAACTCAGGACCTGGGCACTGTCCCTGAGCTTCTTTTACTCAAGGCTAGCACTCTACCATTTGAGCCACAGTGCCACTTCCAGTTTTTCCTGAGTGGTATATTGGTAATAAGAGTCTCACAGACCTTCCTGCCCAGGCTGGCTTCAAACCACAATCCTCAGATCTCAGCCTCTTGGGTAGCTAGGATTGCAAGGCTGAGCCACCAGCACCCGACCTGTATAGAGCTTTTATGAGGAAGTATGTTTCTAATTCTTTTGGAAATATTCACAGGAGTATAATGACTGTTTATGATAACTGTTCATATGATATTATGACTGTTCACTGTTACTATGATGACTGTTCACAGGATAACTGTTTAACCTCTTGAGAAAATGCCAGGGAGCTTTCTGCTTCACTGTTTCACATTCATAACAGCACATGAGAGTCCAACTTTCTCTATCACCTCAAAATATCTATAACTATCATACTGGTATGTGAAGGACTGACCCCTACCCTGCTTTCCCAGGTACATATCGAGAACAGGCAAGCCACTAAAGATCAGTGCAGACTGCCTGACTCTAGCAGGGCAATCTATCTAACCCTGGCTATTAACATTTCATCTCATCATGGGCCCAACCAAAAGGCCCTCACCTCCCTAGACCTAATGGCTTTTTTTATTAACCTCTGCCTCCTTGCTCAGACCTTGTAAAACTCCATTCTTGAACCCAACTCTGTACAGTCTCCAAGCCCGTGGGAAGGCTGTGTCCCCCTCCCTCACCACCCCTGCTCTATCTCAATAAACAGTCCTTGAATTCATTATTGTTATTTAATATTAATTAATTATAAATGTTAGTTGTTGCTATTAATAATTATTTGATTGTTTAAGTGTTCAATTATTTAAACATGAATATAATATATTCTAAACCACATTAAGTCTTGAAACTTCTAGAAGATTCTCTGCCTGTAGCATCCCAAAGGCAATGAATGAATACATAAAACACAGCATCCCAAAGGCAATGGATACATAAACACTAAGACATTTTTATTCACAAGTTATAACTTTCTTAAGTCAGCTGTTTGAAGCATAACAGACACATATGTATCCCTACTATTTATAAGCTATGAGTCCTGACCAGAAAATTATTTCTTAAGGGTAGGCTGGTATGCTTTGAAGAACATTAAGAAAATAATAACCAGAGGAAATCCCCAAGTATAAAATGGCTGAAATTTTTGCTAATCTTATCAGGAAGCCACAGTAGAAAAATTCAAATGAATATTTATTTCCAGGCTTTAAAATCAAGGGTTTTTTTTTTGTTTTGTTTGTTTGTTTGTTTGGTCGGTCATGGGGCTTGAACTCTGGGCTTGGGCACTATCCCTGCGCTCTTCAGCTCAAGGTGAGCGCTCTACTACTTCTGGTTTTCTAGTGGTTAACTGGAGATGAGAGTGGGGAGGAGGAGGGCCCCCGGGAGGGGTGGGGGTGTCTGGGAAGGTGGTCAGTGGTAGAGCGCTTGCCTTGTATGAGGCCCTGGGTTAATTCCTCAGCACCACATAAGCAGAAAAAGCCAGAAGTGGCACTGTGGCTCAAGTGGTAGAGTGCTAGCCTTGAGCCAAAGAGCTGAGGGGCAGCACCTAGGCCCAGAGTTCAGGCCCCATAACTGGCAAAAAAAAAAAAAAAAGAATCTCTCGGACTTTTCTGCCCAGGCTGGCTTTGAACCATGATCCTCAGATCTCAGCCTCCTCAGTAGCTAGGATTACAGGCATGAGCCACCGGTGCCCAGCTAGTTCATTTATTTTCCAGGGGAAAAAAGGAATAATGTATTTAAACATTTTACACTGACCTAAGATTTTCCATATGTGCTTCCCCAAAATATTAATGTCTCAATAAGCAGTTTCTTGAATAAAAATTCTACTTAGACTGTCGGGAAGAACAGTTTTGTGCACAAAAACAAAACAAAAACCGATTATCAATGTAATGGATGTTACCTGTACATCATAGCCATCCCAGCCTTTGTTCTGACACTGTATGACTTTAGGGATGTAAGAATCACAGCCAGCAGTGCCTCCAACACACTTCAACTGTGGAATTGGATCTAGTCTCCGGGAGGTGGTGTAGCGGTCATAGTGCAGTGTTAGAGCCTTTACATCCCGCAAGAGCATTCTGTCTGAAATGGAACACAGGTAAAAACAGAGTTAAATAGCTGCTAAACAGAAATAGAGATTCATCCTAACAGAACTTCTGTCATAGGGAATGGTTTCCAAAAAAAGTATCTTTCTTGCCTTTTGAGGCTGACACATGATCCAGGTGCACCTGAGCAGAAAGCAAGAGTCTATCTCAAAAGTAACCAGTACAGCTGGGTACCAGTGGCTCACATCTATAATCCTAGCTACTTAGGAGGCTGAAATCTGAGGATTGTGGTTCAAAGCCAGCCTGGGCAGGAAAGTCCGTGAAACTCTTTATCTCCAATAAACCATCAGAAAACCAAAAGTGGTGCTGTGGCTCAAGTGGTAGAGCACTAGCCCTGAGATGAAAAGCTGAGGGACAGCACCCAGGCCCAGAGTTCAAGCCCCACAACTAACCAAAAAAAAAGAGTAATCAGTACAGAAAGGGGGTGGAGGTATGGCCCAGTGGTAGGACACCCACCCCAGCAAGCCTGCAGTCTTGATTCAAACCCAGCACTGAGGGAAAAAAAAAAAGTAAAACATACACAAGCATGTTCCTAAAGAACATTTAATGATTTAAAGGCCTATCAACAGGATAATAAATAGAATAAATTTTGACCACCTATTCTTACAGCAGACTTACTCTACAACAGTTAAAATGAGGAAACTAGAACCCTTAAATCAAGCTAAATAAATGGGTAAAATATTTTAAGCAAAATGGAAGTTACTGTCTAGAATGATAAACTTCAAATGTTTGTACTAAAACACATATTTAGTTTCTAATATTATGTAAAGGGAAATGCAGGCCAGAATGGCTCTGAGTAAACATAGAATAGTGCCCAGAACATATGGTGCAAAATTGTCAAGACAAAATTTAGTTTCTTGGCCTACAGATCCAAGAGAACTTTCCACAATACAACCAAACTATACTAAAAAAGAGAATTTGACAAACAGTTGGATGTAATCAATTACCAAAGCCAAAGCTCTTTCTATACTTGTGATATCCAGTTAGAAAAAATGAAAAGCCTACTCAATCAAATTAGTGGCAAAATATTCATAAATACAATAAACTCATATGTTCATAAATTCATAAATACCTAGAAATAAATTTAGGACCAATTAAAAATCTCTATAAAAATATATACCTGAGCCGGGTGCCAGTGGCTCACACTTGTAATTCTAGCTACTCAGGTGGCTAAGATCTGAGAATATATACCTAAATAATGTGATGCACTTCAACCAGAAACCCAGTAAGTTGTTTTTGGAACTATGAAAAAAAAATGTTAAGGGATTTTTGGAAAAATTAATGTCTATTAATACTTAGTATTTTTTAAAGAATGCATTTTTTACTATAAAAATACTACCACTTTGGCTGGGCACTAGTGGCTCACATCTGTAATCCTAGCTACTGAGGAGGCTGAGATGTTCAAAGCCAGCCCGGGCAGGAAAGTCCATGAGACTCTTATCTCCAATTAACAAAAAGAAAACCAGAAGTGGTGCTGTGGCTCAAGTGGTAGAGCACTAGCCTTGAGCTGAAGAGCTGAGGGACAGCACCCAGGCCTAGAGTTCAAGCCCCATGACCAAAAAAAAAAACAAAAACCACTGCTGGGATAATATTAATTTGGAATGGAAACAGACAAAGAAACTCAAATAAAACAAAGTCTAAAGATAAATGCAGATATTTGTGGGAACTGGATACAAGATAAAATGAAATTTTCAATTCAGTGGGAAAAAAAATGCCTCCTTTCATAATTGGCACTAACACAGCTGGCCCTACAACTATATGAAAATCTATCTACAATATGAGAACACAAACTTAATTTTACATTAGCTAAAGATCTACAAGTGTAAGAACTATATTAAAATGAAACGTGCTGGGGCTGGGAAGGTGGCTCGGTGGTAGAGTGCTTGCCTTGCATGCATGGGACCCTGAATTCAATTCCTCAGCATCACATAAGCAGAAAAAGCTGGAAGTGGCACTGTGGCTCAAGTGATAGAGCGCTAGCCTTGAGCTGAAGAGCTCAGGGACAGCATCCACACCCAGAGTTCAGGCATCCACGACTGACCAAAAAAATAAAATATGCTATAGTAAATTCAAAATTTTTCCTCATATACATTATCTGAAATAAACAAAACTATTACATGATATTAAAAGTCAGATTGTATTAATAAACTAAATAATAGAAATATCAACAACTTGAATTTACTGTAATAAGATTGCAATAATGCAAAGAACAATAAATTGACATCATAGTTTATTATGTGACTTTGGCCACAGCACTAAATTTATCTGTGCAGTAGTTTGCTCAACTGTAAAACTAAGATGATAATATTAATCTTAAAATCTGTGTGAAGCTTAGTTATAATTTGCTAAAATTACCTGACAGAGTACTTGATTACCTGGCAGAGTAAGTGATCAAGTATGAGGATATTATCAGCACTGCAAACCCATGGGTATCATTATGCTTACCTCACAGCACCTTTCTTCTCTAGACAGCCTTAAGATCAAAGAACAAAGACTCATCTCATATTCATCCTCTACTGGTTACATCAGTCAAGGGACATAGAGAGTTCCTTCAACTGCACATGCATGCGCTGAAATCCACTTACCTGTCTCAAACTTCAAGGAAAACCAAATGCCCCTGAGCCTAGTTCTCCCATATTCTCCAACATCTCAATGCTAAGTCCATCGTTTTAGTTGTGTAAGTCAGAAACTCTGGAATCACCTTTGTCTTCTATCCTTCTCTTAACTCTCACTGAATCAATCAGAATACTGAAACAGGTGACAAGAGAACCCAACCTCTCTCACTGACTCTATCATCACTCCCCGGAGCTAATCCTTGAGATTTACCTTAGAAGCCATCTTTTCACTGACCTCCCTCCCACCTCTTTCACGTATTCCAAAGAGTATGCTCAGATAAAACTGTAAAAACTGAAGTCATATCAAATCATTTACCTTTCCTTTTTCTTCAGGTTCCTGATGAAATGTTACCTTAAATGTAGCTTCTCTGAGCAATATATGGATTTTAAGTCCCACCCTAAGGACACACACTGTCCTTAACATTGTCCATACCAGTTTTCATTATATGGTATGCTATTTACATGTTTATTGTCTATTTCATCTCAATAAATATAAACTCCTTGAAGACAAGACAGTTTTGTTTACAGCTATATTCTTCCCAACAGGAGAAGAGTGATTTAAACATAAGACCACAGTTGATTTTTTTTAAAAAAATGAGAAAAGCATCAGTGGCTCACACTTATAATCCTAGCTACTCAAAAAGCTAAGATCTGAGAACCTCAGATCTTTGAAATCAACCTGGGCAGACAAACCTGAGAGATAATTATCTCCAACCAGCAAAAAGTTGGCACTGGTAGTAGGTTTCAAGTGGCAGAGCACCAGCCCTGAGCAAAAAAGCCAAGCAAGAATGAGAGGTCCTGTGTTCAAATCACAGTACAAGCATAAAACAAACTGAAAATTCTTAGAATTAGAAAAATAGAAAATTAGAAAATTCTTAGAAAATCCTTAGAATGATACTTTTTTTGAGGCATACTACTGCTATGTGTTAGCTAAAGATGAAGTAAATAAAAAACATATTTCTTCAAAGTTGACCTCAAGTCAAGTAGAAACAGAGTGCTTTCGGTTCCAGAACAACAATTCTACAACATATGTAGACTAAAAGCCATCAGGAAGTGGCTCACCATTCATTTAAATGTGGTTGTTTCTGTAGTTCCTCAAATGCTTTATATGTAAATGCAACCCACTCACCCACTTTTAAATTGAGGATTCAACTAATGTTTCATTCTAGGTTTAATACTGCTTTCTGATCAAGCCTTTTTTGGTGGTAGGGATGTGGCACTAGGGCTTGAACTCAGGGCCTGGGCACTGTCCCTGAACTTCTTTTGCTCAAGACTAGTGCTCTACTTCAAGATTTTTCTGTGATTAATTAGAAATAAGAGTCTCACACTTATTTTACCCTCAGGCTAACTTTTCTGCCCCAAATCTGCCCTCAGATTTCACCCACCTCAGTAGCCTTTCATTTGTAAGCAAATTTGTAGGAACATTTTAAAAAAACATATAGATCTTAAATCCAAATTGGGTTCTCACATCCATAATAATTGGGTTATTCAGCCAGGCACAAGAGACCTAAACCTGTAATTCTAGCTACTCAGGAGGCTGAGACCTGGAAGATCTTGAGGCTCCAAGTCAGCTGGGAAAAAGTCCTTTGAGACTCTATCTCTGATTAACCAGCAAATAACCAGGCTAGAGGCTCAAGTAGTAGAACACTATCTGTGACAAGAAAGCCAAGCAAGATGGAGGCTCTGAGTTCCAGCTACAGTTCCGGCAAAAAAAAATAATAATAATAAGTGGAGAAATGCAACAATGAAATTCTCCTTGTACAACTAATGTAAGCTAATAAAAAATAAATAAATAGGTTACTCATGCTTGAAAAATAGCACTCTACAAGATCTTACAGAAAAAAACTTGTTGAAATAAATTGTTTGCAACTACACAAACTGAACAAGGAAACCTGTTGACTGGGGACACAGTGATAGATGGAGTGAGATTGAGTGGAATATATTGGAAATTTGACAATGAAATCCCCCTACAGGATAGCCAATTTAAACTAATTTTAAAGAGGAGGAGGGGGGGGGAGAGAATCTTGGTAGTGGTGTGGGTGGTGGCCCAAGCCTGTAATCCTAGCTACTTGGGAAGTGGAGATGGGAAAAAGGGAACTGAGGGGGGAAATGATCAAGGACAGCTCCAGCAAAAGGTTCATGAAATTCCAATTCGACCAATGGCTGATAATATTTGTGTTCCCCTTTCATCCCAGCTAAATGGGAAAACACAAATGAGAATTGAGGTACAGGCCAGGCCAGGGTATGAAGTGGAAAAGGGCCGGTAGAATGGCTCAGGTGATGGACGTGAGGCTGAGATGAAACCCCAGCACCACCAGAAACTTTTAAAAATGAATCTGTTGGGGCTGGGAAGGTGGCTCTGTGGTAGAGTGCTTGTCTTGCATGCATGAGGCCCTGGGTTCGATTCCTCAGCACCACATAAGCAGAAAGGGCTGGAAGTGGTACTGTGGCTCAAGTGGTAGAGTGCTAGCCTTGAGCTGAAGAGCTGAGGGACAGCGCCCAGGCCCAGAGTTCAGGCCCCTCGACTGGCAAATAAATAAATCTATTGCTTAAATTTAAAAACAGGGATGTCCTTATCACCAACTCACAAATTCTTCCTTCACCTTAACATTGTACTCTCCTAACCAAAAATGTCATGAGCCTCTTCCTTAGAAGGCACTTAAGTACTTTTGCCTAAAATATGCGAAAAAGATGGAGCCGCACGAGCCACTTGAGCCACGCTTCTTGCACTGGTTATTTTTTAAGTAGTATCTTGCTTTATGCCCACATCAGCCTGATCTGCCACCCAGTGCTTCCCGAGCCTTTGGGGGTAAAGAGGGGTGTGACTGCACTGAGCCACTGGTGAAATGGAAGTCTGAGAATTTCTTTTTTTGCCGTGTTAGCCTCCACCCGGATCCCCAGATGTCTGCCTCCCGAGTAGCTGGGCTTCCCGGCTGGAGCCGCAGCGCGCGGCTAGAGAAAACATTTTAAACGCCTGTGCACGGTGAAAGCCGATGGGAAACGCAGTTGTCATTCGATTTACTCCGCTGCCTCGGGCAGATTTAGAAGCGAGAGTTGTGCTCTCAAAAGCAGCGGTCTGTGATTCTAGAAACCCAGCTGTCAGACTTAATTGAGGGCCCAGAGTCCGCTGAGGGTGACTCAGACCGCCGGTGGCGTGACAACTCGGAGCCCTAGCAACAGGCGGCCATGCTAACAGTAGACGACGACGACATCAGGCAGCCATGACAAACGACGCGCAGGTGAGGGCCCAGGCTGCCAGTCGGACTCAAGGATGCGGGCCGTGGCCCCGAGAACGTCGGGGGGCGAGGAGGGGGCCAGGAGAAGGTACGAACCCGACTTTCAGGGTCGTCCCGCCCCGCCCACTGCCAACCTTCCCACTCGAGCAGCCCAGGCGCCAGGCCGGGTGCGGATGAGCAGTAGAGACGCCAGAAATGGGGGACCAGGCCCGGGGGCCTCCGGCCGAGGACGGCAGGACGTGGCTGGGGCGGGGGGGGGGAGAGGACAGGGGACCCCCACAACACTCACCAGGATCATTCCAGCACAAAGCGGGACCCGCGATCAGCAGCAGAAGAAGCAGATCGAAGAGCAGGCAGCGCTCGGCGCCTCCCCGCCCGCCAGCCGCGGCCATGGCGCTGGGTGAAGACAGTGCGCGGCGGCACCAGGCGCTCTAGGGCCCGCGCCGGGCAGCGGGGGGGAGCGGCGCGCCGCTGCGCAACCACACCGCGAACCTGCGGCTGGGGAGGTCCGGTGTTACTGCAGAGCCGCAGCCCCGCGCCAGCCTGACGTCACTGCTGCTGCGGTACGTGGAGGCTCGTGAGTGGCCGCTTCTGGCCCCGCCCCTGAGGCTCGGCGCGCATCTGGGCGTGGCGGGGGCGGGGCGAGGGATGGGGGCGGGGCTGGGGCCCGGAGGCCTCGGCACCTGCAGGCCGGACCTCCCTGACTGGAGAGGTAGAAAGCACTAAGGTGGGAGATCTGAGATGTTTTAGTCCGGTTATGTGTTTCCAAAACCTCCATAACCATTCACGAGGGAAGTTGCCACCCTTTATTTTTGTTCAGCTTTGTGCTCAGCATCTGGCCGAGCTCCTGACACATGACGAATGTTCTATTAGTGTTTAATAAAAACAGAGAAGACTCAGGGGAAAGGTAGCAAGGAAATATATTGTGTGATTTCGGAGGTCAGAACCTTTCAAATGCTTCCTAATACATAGAAGCCGTGAGAATGGGACAATGAAAGGTCTGGGGGGGGGAGACCATATTGCTTGAATAAAGAACCACTTGGGGAAAATAGCTCTCGGAGCTTCATCCCAGGCGTTGGTTTAGACGTGAAGGATACAGACAATGTCCCTGTACACAGGAACCTTACACTGAAGTAGTACAGTAAACAATAAAAATAACATGTAGCAGTAAGTCCTTTGGGGAAAATAAAACCTACTTGACAAGCAAAATTTTGACAGTGAAGCATGTCTGAAATGTGTTGTTTGGAGGTTGATAGGAGGAGGGGGAATGAGGAAGGGTGATCAACCAGGATGAGTCTGATCAAGGACCATTGTATGCACATATAGACACCAAATAAAAAAATGTAAAGAAAATGAGACTGGCCTTCATAGAGAACAGATGAAAAAGCCCCACTTTGATTTGAGGAACAGTGATTCACCAGCTAGCCCTTATGCATTACAAAGCATATAGTAGTGAATATAACAAAATTGGGGACATGGGAAAGACAAACAAAGCAGCATAACTGCAACATAGGAGGTTAGGGGATGAATGAAAGAAACAAGAGGAGAACTTGAGTGGGGACTTAAATCAGACCAGACAGGGTCAGAATACTATAGAGATAATAGAGAGTTCTGTTCTGAATATTTAAGGTGAATGGTAGCCATGTCATTAGGTATGCAAACCCAAGTTCAAAGCTAAGGTATATTTGCAGTTATATGGTAAATATGCAAATGGTATTTAAGGCCAAGAGAACAGATGTGCTGCATGTGGTAGTACATGCCTATAATCCCAGTACTTGGGGGAAAGAGGTAGGAGGGCTTGGAGTTCTAGAACAACTTAGGCTACATCGTGAATTGGATACATTCTATGTTCATATTGAAATGTCACAAGAAAACTCCCTCCTTTACAATTAATGTATACTAATTGAAAATAATGTCAACCTGGTACAAATGGCTCATGCCTATAATCCTTGCTGCTCAAGAAGCTGAGATTTGAGGATCACAGTTCAAAGCCAGTCCAGTAGGAAAATCTGAGACTTAATCTCTGTTGTTTGAGATGAGCCGCAATGAACAAGACAAGAGGTTGTACTCATTTGCATTCTAATGGGAGAGACTGCAAACTATGCTATGAAAATTCAGAGTGCCTTGAAGAGGCAGGTAATGCAATGAGTAGTGCTATCAGAAACAGGACAAGCCGGGCGCTGGTGGCTCATGTCTGTAATCCTAGCTACTCAGGAGGCTGAGATCTGAGGATCGCAGTTCAAAGCCAGCCCGGGCAGGAGAGACCATGCGACTCCGATCTCCAATAAACCACCACAAAACCAGAAGTGGCGCTGTAACTCAAGTGGTAGAGCGCTCGCCTTGAGCTGAAGAGCTGAGGGACAGCGCCCAGGCCCAGAGTTCAAGCCCCACGACCGACAAAAAAAAAAAAAAAAAGAAACAGGACAGCCCAGAAAGGTTCACTGAGAAGCCCTGGCTGGAGCTGAAAGCTAAATAATAAGCTGTAAAAAGCTTTCCCCACTTTCCTCTCCTTTCTACTCTCCCACACAGCACTAGACCAGATGTGGAGGAGGGACAGTTGAACTCAAGGCTTCACTCTTGCCAGGCAGGCTTTGTATTTTTGGGTATCCCCCTAGTCCTTTACATTCATTTGGGATGAGAGTTTGGCCAGGGGCTGGCCTGGATCTCACTGATCCTCCTACTGGTGTTTCACACACAGCAGGGATCACAAGCTTGCACTAACATGGCTGGTACATTGTTTGAAATAAGGGTCTTGATAACTTTGTCAGAACTGACATTGAACTTCAGGCTTCCTTGACCTCCTCTTCCTGGGTAGCTGGGATTAAATGTGAGGCACTGCTCCCAACATGAGGATTTCATTTCAATACAACAACTGGGTGTCTTAAGTCAATTCTGTTCTGACACAATTCTGTTCCAGGTTGTGAACTGTGTTTCTGACTAGCTACAAATCACCCCCTCCCTTAAAGATGAAACTAGGTCTGGAATTTGCCTTAATGTAGCAAGAGGAAAGAATTTGATACGCGGTGAAGGAGAGTGAGTGAGAGTATAAATAAAAGAATATGGGCTATATTTGGAAGATCAAAGGAAGCTGGTAACATGGGAGTTCATTATACTATTATGCTACTAGTTACATGTAGTACTTAAATTTTTCATACTAAAATTTTTTAATGAAAAAAATTTCTCCTTCTGTAACTTGATCTATAAGAGTAAGTCATTCCCAGTTCATAAAATATGGAAAGGAGGGGCTGGGAAGATGGCTCAGTGGTAGAGCGCTTGCCTTGCATGCCTTGCATGCATGAGGCCCTGGGTTTGATTCCCTAGCACCACATAAGCAAAAAGAAAAAAAGCTGGAAGTGGTGCTGTGGCTCAAGTGGTAGAGCACTAGCCTTGAGCTGAAGAGCTGAGGGACAGTGCCCATGCCCAGAGTTCAGGCCCTACGACCGGATCCCCCCCAAAAAATAATAATAAAATAAAATAAAATATGGAAAGGAGGAAATCAGATAAATCTTAGCTAGCTTCCCCCAAACAAGAGGTTTGTTCTTTTCACCCTATCTCTGAATTAATTTTGAAGGCTAGGAAACTAGATGTAGGGAAGTGTTGGAACTGTGAAAGATAACATGGATACACTATTACATACAACAATATTTAGAGGACAATTAAAGGATATAACAGTGTTTAACATTCACTTGAAAAATGGGTGAAGAAGACTTCTAACATTCTACTTTTTTTCAAACTGACTTTCAAGCCATAGTTTGAGGTCATGTTACCACTTTCAGTTCTAACCTCTGTGGATGATGTGGAGTAGGATGTTTAGGAATTAAGGAAGCACTCCCAACAAATTGTTTTAGGTGATATTTGAAATACAACAATGGTGAAAAACAAACCAGGTTACTGGTCCCTACCTTGCATCTGCAAGCCAACATGGCTAACTAACTAATATGGCTGGTATATATGTAGAGATAAAGGTCTTTCCCTCTTGGGAAAATTAGAAGGCAGTCTCCTAGGTTTCTGCGACTATAGAAGCCAACAACTATAGAACTCTCTGACCAAACAGTAATCCTAGTTGTTCATGTATATCATAAAGAACACCTGCTGTAGCTGGGTGCCAGTGCTCATGCTTGTAAATCTACCTCTCAGAAGGCTGAGATCTCAGGATTGAAGTTTGAAGCCAGCCTGTACAGGAAAGTCTATGAGACTCTTATCTCCAATTAACCAACTAAAAAGCTAAAAGTGGAGCTGTGGTAGAGCCTCAACCTTGAGCAAAACAGCTAAGGGACCTGGGCCCCTGAGTTCAAGCCCCAATACCACTACTGGCACACACACAGGACACACACACACACACACACACACCACCTATAAATGCTTAACACATTGTACTCAAAAGATATTAATGGGCTAGGAATGTGGCTTAGTAGTAGAGTGCTTGCCTAGCATCCATGAAGCCTTGGGCTCCATTCCTCAGTACTACATAAACAGAAAAAGTCAGAAGTGGCACTGTGGTTCAAGTGGTAGAGTACTAGCCTTGAGCAAAAAAAAAAAAAGCTCAAGGACAGTGCCTAGGCCCTGAATTCAAGTCCCAGGACTAACAAAAAGAAAAAGAAAAGATATTAGTGGCTACCATTTAACTACTGAGACTTGTGGAAGCCACCTCTAAAAATACTTTTTTAATTAATTTACTTTATTATTATAGAGGTGATATACAGGGAGATTACAACTATGTGAGTCAGGTAATGAGTACATTTCCTTTCATACAGTCTTCTGTTCCCTCATTCTCTCTCATTCCCTCCCTCCCATCTCTACCCACAAGTTGCATAGTTCACTTTCATCCATATCCAGTAATCCCCACTGCTGTACTTTTTCACCCTTAAAAAGGCTTGTTTAATAGATATTATTATAAAGGTGATGTACAGAAGGGTTAAAACGGTTTTTGCTACTGTGATCTTTCCTGAGAACCAAGCCATGACCCTTGAGTTGTGAACCTATCACTTTGTACCACTGATCAGGACTGTCCTTTAATTATCCTTGCTTTAAGGATGGAATACCTTAGAACAAAACAAGCAAAAGTATTATAGCAACACTTAGGGTGAAATTATTTACTTTTCCAGAGATTCTATGATCTTAGCTTTGTGTTCCAATGACCCCATAGACTGAGTTGTTTATGAAGAATGGATAGAGTCCTTTCTTCCAGTTCTTAAGGCTGAGAAGGCCAAGAGCTGCTTTTGGTGAGAGCCATCTACCTTGCTACATCATAATATGCTGAAGGAATCATCAGGAAAGAATAGGAAAAGAACAAAATCTGTTCATAACAGTCATTAATCTATTTGTGAGGCTAGAGCCCTCAAGGCCTAAATACTTTCCATTAAGCCCCACCTCTCAACATTGGGGCTTTGGGGATTGGATTTCCAAAGATGCTTTGGAAGTCAAGTTCAAACCATGGCATCTCCCCACTCAGTTCAAGATGGTTTAAAAGAAGGATGCATGTAATGGCTTCAGTGCAGGGAGCTGGAAGTACATGGGTATTGTCTACTCAGC